AAAGAGGAAACAGTGTGGGGAACAGTATACAGGGGGACAATCAGGTGCCCACAGGAAGACTTTGCTGGTTCCCCACCATACAATAGGGCCCAGCCTGGAGGCTGACACCATGGAACATGGCCTGGTGGGTACTACTACTCAGCCATAGTTTTCCTGGGTAAAGGCTACTATGGGGAAGGGAAGGAGGGAAAGCTGAAGGGGGCAGCTAGAGGTGGGTTGGCTGGTAGATGAGAAGAAGAGAAGGAAACAGGAAAAAGATAAAAGAAGGGGCAGAAAGAAGCAGGGCAAGGAAAGAGAAGAAGGAGAAGCTTGAGTGGGGGAGAAAAAAGTTTGGAGGTGTGAGAGAAGAAAGGGGAAGAGGCAGTTGGCGGGAAGCTGAAGACTGGGGAGAGATAACAGTAGGTTTGATGGGTGGGGGAGAAAAGGAAGCTGGGAAATGGGAGAGACTATGGAGGCTGTTGGGATGAGAAAAAGGAAATAGTGTGGACAGTGAGATATAGGGTAAAAATGAGATGTGCCCCCCAATAAATTCTGATGGATTCCCCACTTGCAATTTTATAATAACCAGTAGTTCTTGTGCCTTTTGGATTTAAGATATCTCTCCTTATATATAATTGAGTAGTGGGTGCCAAAGTTCTAATTCTAAAATGCACTCCCTTAGTGTATGGCTGATGGCACTGCTCCTCAGCATATATCGCCACCAATCAGAAGGCAAAGCCCGGGTCCCGCCCACACCACAACCGCTGCGACAACCTGGTCTTTTGCATATGGAAGCTGATTGGACTTCACTCCATTCCACACCTCAAACTCCCCCCCCCCGCAAGACAGTTGGAATGTCAGTTGCATATGGAATCTGCTGTATTCTGGTGGTGTGTAGGTCCCAGATTCATGTTTTAAAAACAGACTGACACTGTTTGCCCAAAGCCAGAGCACTCTCCCAGAGCCTCTTTCTAGATCCCGTTGTATTTATTTCCACAACGGGCCTTATTTCTAGTCTCTGATAAAACAGACTAACAAGTTGTCATCGTATTTGTTGAAAGTGCACATTTAATCAGAAACCATAAATGGTATTTGGGTTCCACTGATTTTTTATTATTCAGTGGATTAATAAATTGTGTAATTCACTGCCAGTGGATGCAGTGATAACCAGAAGTGTAGATCACTTTATAAGGGAGTTCGTGACAGACTCATGAAGGATAGTTCCTTCAATGACTGCTAGCCATGGTGAGATAAGGGAATGTCCATATAAAGAGGCAGCAAATCTCTGAATACCAGTGCTTAGAGGCAGCATCAGGGAAAGGTCTTGGCCTCTATGCCCTGTTTGCTGGTCCTCCAGGGCAACTAGTTGTCCACTGAAACATTTTTCTGATCCAGTAGGGCTCTTCTTATGTGTGCTAATGCTTTATTTTGCAGGCCGAGGGGATTATTCAGAATTGCCTGACGTTAGTTTCAGTGTCCTTTAGTCACTGCTTCACTGTAGAAATTAGTATTGAGTAACTGTAGAAATTGGTATTGAGGGATGAGCACACTTGGGACTACATTAGGGAAATTTGATTAAGTTTATTAAGGTTGTGCCGAGTTTTTGGTGCAGCCTAAGAAAACTAATATAGAAAGAAGCGCACATGAAATTGATTGGGCATTCTTCAAAACAAATGGTCTTAGCATTACTACGTAGTATTTTAAACACAGTGGTTAGATTGAGACAAGAAGGTCATACACAATAGAAGTGGGGTTCAGCACTGCCACTGCTAGAATTTGTCAAACCAAAGGATAGCTAACTTTTTACTTCTGTATAAGAAACTGAAAGTGTGAAATAATGTAATGGCGTTGTCTACTTTTGTTTCCATATAGGGAGATGTAGCTAATGAAGTAGAAACTGAACAAATACTCTGTGATGCTTCAGTGTTGTCATTTTCAGCCGGGAGCTATTCATCTTATGTCCAAGTGCGAGGTTCTGTTCCTCTGTATTGGTCTCAAGATATTTCAACTATGATGCCTAAACCACCAATTACATGTATGTTCTGAATACAACTTATAATATTTTAACATACATATGTAAATAATGTCTGGACTAGGCCCTATTAACCCTTCAGCTGCAAAGTTTATAGATGTCTTCTCTCCAGATTGTCACCACACATCATAGAAACACCCTTTGGACTGTGCTCATTGCAAATTGAGGCTGCTGGCAAAAGGTAGCTAATGCCAGTGTTGATTAGCAGATACTGCTGTTACATTTTCATCACTAGAACCTTTTTATTTATTAATTTATTTCAATTTATATTCCACCCTCCTTGTAAGCGGGCTCAGAGCGGATCACAAAGTAGATTCTAAAACACATCAGATACAATATTACAGAATAATTAAAAACAATTTAAAACAGCATAAATTAAAACAGGTTGCACTATTAGTCTATGTGCAAAGTTTCCAAGCTGGTGCCATTGGGTCTCTAAGCCAGTTTGGTGTTGTGGTTAAGTGCGTGGACTCTAATCTGGGAGAACTGGGTTTGATTCCCCACTCCTGGATGACCCTGGGCAAGCCATAGTTCTGTCAGAGCTGTTCTCTCCAGGACAGCTCTCTCAGGGCTCTCTCAGCCCCGCCTACCTCACAGGGTGTCTATTGTGGGGAGGGAAAGGAGTTTGTAAGCTGCTCTGAGACTTTGAGTGAGGGGTGGGGTATAAATCCAGTTCCCTCCTCCCTCTTCCTCCTCCTCCTTCTCTGCATAGAGGTGGTGAATTTCAGCAGGGGAGGCCAGGTTTTAATGGGAGTGAGATGCTTATCACAATTCAATCATCATGCTTACCGTTCCTTTTTTTCCTTCCCTAAAAAGTGAACACTTTTCCCAGTATACAATATGAGCACGAATGTAGCCTTTTTCAAAAAGTACAATTTGTTTATTAAAACATTTATACTCCTCCTTTCCTTTACTGCTCATAGCAGCTTACAGATCCAAATTTAAAACCTACAAAGTACAATAAAACCACAGTTGTCTCCCTCCCAAAGGCATACAGCCTACCCCATTAAAAGCCCTAGTGAATAAAGTGGCCTTTTGGTGCCTCCTAAAAACTTCTGGTGGCAGTGCCTTTCTCATGCAGCCCATTCAGAGCGTGGGCACTTCTATAGAAAAAAATATGGCCTTGGTTGATGCTAGGCAGCCAGTTGGTTGCAACTAGGAGACTGCAGAGGGCACAAAGAGACCTATGGTCAGAGATAACCATCCTGCAAGAACCATCCCTTGGCCCTCTACTTTTCCTTTTGGTTTTGGAGCATACATTTCCACAGTCAATTTAAAGAGTAGTTGGGCTGGCCGCCCTGCTGCAAGATTTCCCTGTTTTGTGTTGGAACAAATGTCATGCTTATTACTACTGCAGGATCAAATCTAGTGCAGGCGTGTTGCCAAGAGAGGAAAGTTATTCCTAAAATATTGCTACTTCTAAGCATTTTCTCTAGAAGCCTCTTTATATAAATTCATATATGTTAAACTGTGCAAAAATAGACTAGTCCTATTTTTCTTTGATTATCAGTAACTAGCTACAAGATTTGCTGTGTACCAGCCTGTGTTTCAGGTATTTCTGTTAGAACTGAACAAGCCCAGAATTCATGTGAAGCTTGTTTGTGGATCTTAGCATTTATTTATTTATTTATTTATCAAATTTCTACCCCGCCCTCCCGGCCAAAGCCGGAATTTAATTTAATTTAAATTAAATTAAAGCAAAACTCTCCAGTGTGAGGAAAGGGATTTTGAATCTTATTGAGAAAGACCCTTATATGGGGCCATGGAAGGTGATTGTTAAGAATAGACTCCAGTAGTTAGGATATGATGACAAAGATATGGACATCACAAAACACATAAAGCCCTCAGTACTGAATTTGGACAGAACTAGTTACTTATTGAAGGTATGGTGTGTATGCTCACCAGCATTCTTTGGAGTTCCTTTCTCTTATGCTATCCTGAGCTACTTAAAAGACCTAATGATCCCTCATTATAGAAGAGCATTTATGCCCACTCGGTTAAATTCTTTTCCTTCAGCCATAATGGAAGGCTGATCCACGCGTGTACAGTATTCGAACAGAGTTCGTAAATGTAGATCTGGTCAGACTGAGCACTTAAAACATATTTTATTGGAGTGTGAACTCTTAATAGGTTATGTGAATTTACCATCTCAAAAAATTGTCCAGTTTTTCCTCATAGATGAGGGTCAGAAAATTATCCAACCCCTTACAAGCAGTCACCACAGCTAAATAAGGTAATTTAGCTGCGGTGATTGCTTGTAAGAGTGTTGGATCATGATCTCTTCAAGACCTTTGAGTCAAAATAACAGTAAGACAAATAACTGGCTACAAGGATTCAAAGGTGTCTGGAATATCATATTTAATTAATAGATATAGGTAAATGGGTGATGCTTCTTATGGAAAAGGTTTTACTGTAACTGCAGTGTCTGCCTTCTAGGCAAGTGAGGAAATGTTTTGAGGTATCCAAGAACTCTGCAGTCTTGTACCGTTTTCCACCTGACTGCAACACTATTTGTACTCAGCATGTAAGCATTTGTTTGGCTAGGTATGTGTACAGGAAAAATTATTAGCTACAGGATGAGTTCAGCTGCATAACTTTGCTGTTGTTACCCTGATAGCAGTTATGCAAAACCCTAACACGATCAAAAAAGAGAACTGTGAAATAGGACGTTGAATTAAAATGATTTTTGCCCCATTTAGATTTCAAGATGACACATTCACAATAAAAAGGAAAAAGGTTTTATGAGGGTACAGTAGGAAGTTACAAAACTGACATTCAAAATCTGAAATATTCAACATGCCATAATGATGCATAATCATACAGTCAATCTTGTTGCTAACATTTTGGCACAGATTACTTTTTTTTTTTTTAAGGAACACACTCAGTATTTCTGTCTTACTCATCAAATAGTCACACAGGAGAATCAAAGCTGCTTAATTTCTCTTTCCTATATGCTGCTCAGAGTGTTTATAAAATCTTTGCCAAAGACCAAACTAGACACGACAGAGGAGGTGCTGCTGTTCCATGTCCATGTATTCTTTTAGGGGGGTGTTGAATCCAAACAATATACAATGTGACATCATTGCCCTGCTTGTCTCTCCTTCCCCTGCCAGCAAACGATGTGTCAGGTTCCACAGCCAACAACTGAGTACACGCTTATCAGAAAGGTTATAATTTATTGCAGAGCTATAGATGCATTAACAAAGTGACTGTTAGGAATGGCATCACCCCTACAAGCATAATGGGATATAGGGTATTCGTATGCACCCCCCCTTCCTTAGGCCAATTAGCCACATTCCCGCGCGCGGGAGAAGGAGCCCCAGGCCGTTAGAGCCGAAGATGAGAACCGAAAGCGCTCCCACGGTTCCCCTGATTCCCAGAAACTACACAGCACCTGCAAGGCCATAGATAAGCAAGCATTACAGAAGCCAAGAAGGAATGCAGCATACTTGTTACACAGGCAAGCAAAACCCTCCCCCCAACCTTCATGGCAGCATAGCTGACACGATGTTAGATGGAGATGAAGATGAAGAAACACATTGGTGCAGAGGAAAATGAATCTTTAATAATTATACTGTCCCTATGCATTTCATGTGCAGCTTCGTCAGGAGGAATTTTTCAGATTCTTTTTAGTTCCGTTCCCATATATACACTTTGATCTTCGACGTGGTCTCTGTGCTTCACACCCATGGGATTCAGTGCGCACGCGCTGGATCGATCAATGCTGTAGCAAGCTCTATTTTAACGGATTTTCGCACCCAATCCCTCCGGGCATGCGCAGGAACCCCACCGGGCATGCCCAGAGGGGTGGGCGCGGACATCCCACCAGTTCCTTTCTTACCGCCACGTTGGAAAGACCTCTTTTGTCATCCTGATCGGTTTGCTGATAGCTTTTTGGAAAAACCTTCTCAGCTCTTGGAAAATATTTCCACACCTACTTCTTTCCTTTTTTCATTCTTGTTATTCAAAAAAAAAAAAAAAAAAGGACTTTGTTTTCTCTGAGGGGAATTCACCTCAGGCCTTCGGGCCACCCCCCCAAACCGTTATTTCTACTCCTTATGGAGAAGAAGTGGGGATTTTTTAATAGGTGTAAATGCTGCGGAAGCAAACGTGCTCCTCTGGACCAGCATACACTTTGTATTTTTTGCCTCGGAGAGTCGCACAAACATTGCGCTCGCTTTTCCAACCAAACATGAAAAAACCATGCGGCGCACCTTAAAGTAGCGCTGCTTGAATCGGCTCTTGCTCCCGCCACACCAATTGAGGAGAGACCATCGACGTCGACAGCTCCAACACCGAGGCCCGCTTCCGATGTTGACCGCCCAACATTGAAGCTCCCGACATCGAAGGCTCAATCGTCCACTTCCACGCCTGTTAAGAAGAAGGCTAAGGCAAGTACAGAAGCCAAGTCCACGAAGAAGGGCACTTCCAAGTCCCTCAAGGCGGCTAAGATGGGGAAGGTGGCAGTACAAGCACTGGGTGATGCCCCAGTAGTGCTCCCCGCTCCACCGGCAGTATCGATATTGGAGGCCCAAGTTCCTCCAACAAACGGAGCGTCCTTACTCCGACATCGAAATGGTAGAGCTCCTAAGCCATCAGATTGATGCAGAGCATTCTCCGTCGTCAACATCGACGGTATCGGAAACTCCCGACATCGATCCACGTCGGCACCGATACACCTCATGTGACACGCAACGTCACCCTCCACGTTTGCACAGTCAATCAGTCGATATCGACAACCGAGATTACCAGGATAATGCCCACAGACAAGCGGCTGCTTTGTCTCCCAGACGTCCACGGTCCAGAAGTCGTTCCCCAAGAGTCTTTCTGCCCCCCCCCACCGATGTTGTGGGATCAACGAAAGTTGAGGTACCGCTATGGGGCATATCCACCTTCCCTGCCGTGGTTAACGCCTCTGGACTATGCTGATTGGGATCGCTATTCCACCCAATCTATTCATAGGGTGAGATCCCCCCATAGATCGAGACCTTCGGCATCGCTGT